GCGGCGAAATTTTCTTGAGCTCTAAGTTTGAGTCAATATTCGACAAAAATAACCAAAATAATACTTTCATCATGAATATAATTGAAATACAAAACGTCTTAGGTAGGTGAATCTCTGTCATAATCTCGTTTTTCATATTTCAGCCATACAATGGATTATTTTAAAAAAAGGTCGATGGAAAAAAAATTAGAAAACTAAGATATCATTCAATGAAAATTTTACTGCTAAAGGTGTATTAGATTTATAACAAAAATTCGCAAGATTTCAAAAAGTGCATAGATTATATAGCTATGCTTGAATTCATTGGCTCAAGTGTGTACAGTGGGCTCGTCCAGCGTGAAATGTGTGATTTTACACTTCCAGTTTGATTCCTTTGATTTCTCATAGGTTTCAATAGATGATCATGGCGTAACACTGGACAAAGCAAAATTTGTGAGAATTTTTCGGAGACTTATGTTGGCAGGCTGAGTTGTAGGGAAATAAGTGGTCTACGAGAATAAGAAACACGCATTTGATTAGAATGGCGTCTTGAACATACATTAGGCTAAGTAATGGATAATCTAGTTATCTTGTCAAAGCCTCGTCTAACACTAAGAGCCAGACTGAACAACACAATTTAATCTGTAAGGCGTTAACAAGCAAGAAGAAGATTAGCGAGTTCCGCTAAGTATTCTTCAAAACTCCGCAGCTTCAGCTACGTAAGATATCTTGGCGAACGGTTTTATGTAATTTCATAAAGGTTACTTGAAGCATGGATGAGTTCAAAATAGAAGATGCTGGCAATTCAATATTAAAGACAATGGGGCTTAATTGTGAAGGTCGCCATTGTCGGTAGAGACTTTGTTTCTATGGCAGGCCAAACGCAGTGTAATTGTCAAGGATAAGACACGCGTAATGGGCTTCTACCATGCTAAGGTAAGCGTAATGAATGATGTAAGCGAGAAGCCACTTTTAAAGCACAACAATAACCACCCTAAAAAACTTTGACCAGTTGTAGAAGCTGGTTAGAGTCACGTAGAAAAAATTAAGAGAAAGTACTTGGCCGTTTTTATGACGATACCTTTACGTGAACATTTGACAAAAAAAAACTAGGAAAAATTGGGAAAATATGGACGGTATGCGGTACAAACATTATTTTTAGCCCTTTTACCATTGTCCTTGACTTCTCGACGCTCTATTTGGAATTAAGTTGTCGAGATTGATCATCATATCCTGAGTTTTGAGCCTTCCAAGTGTACTTTTAGAGAACAGAAAACATGATTTCGAATAGACTGATCAATTTTATTGAAAAGATCGATGAGCCTAATATTTTAACGCTATAATAGATCATGATTATATGCTTCAATACCAAATAATTACGAATATTTTTTATGAGGATTTCTTAATAAACAGCCCTTTTTGCGTATGTCCAAGATTTTTCTGATAAGCTCAAGTAATCATTACCATAGTGCTGAACTGTTAGTTGAGGTAGAAAGTGTGAAATTATTGCGATACTCACTGTTTTCCAGAGTTTCCAGAAACATGTCTGGG